TCTCCTCTATCCATCTTCTATCCGCCTCCCCCTCTCTCCCAATTTATTTCAGAACCCCCTTCCCCTCCCCCATTTCTGAAGAAGGGTCTAGGCCCGAAACGCCAGCCTTCCTGCTCCTCTGATGCTGCTTGGCCTGCTGTGTTCATCCAGCTCTACACCTTGTTATCTCAGATTCTCCAGCATCTGCAGTTCCTACCATCTCGCCACACTGATTCTGTCATTTTTATTTTCAGTGGTGACTTTCCTCTACTTTATCACTCCAATGATTGAACATTCCCAGATGTTTTGGGGCTTTTGAGAGGGAAAAAGCACCCATCATGCCTGCGTATTTTAAGTGCAGACCTCCAGCCACATTCAGCCCTGAAACACACAAAATAATCTTGATCCTTTGCACAGATCATAAGTAGCAATCAAATTGTTACACACAAAAACTTAAAACACAAAAATGTCTTGTCAGAAAGACAATGACCTTCTAACCTTCAGCTGTGGTAGAGTAGCAATCACAAACTTCCTGTAACCAGCAAAATCACAGCAGGGGTTTCCCACCAGATAAAGCTCCTGTAGATGAATATTATGTTTGAGTGACTCCACACTAGTTAGTTCCCCAACAAAGTTAACTGTTAGGTCAAGTTTCTGCAGAAATTCACAACCTGTCAAGGAAAATGAAATAATATCACATTTGCAGAATACGACAAGTTTTCAGTTTTATAAAATTGAAGCTTGTTATAAATATTAAAAGGAATATATATATAAAGTATTGGCAAAGATCTGTAGCTCAGGTCGTGGACGAGGTTGTTGACTTGCTTGCCGAGCTGACTTGTTTTTGACTTCATCCACAGATGCCTACATAACAGACAACAACAGGACGCAGTATGACCCATCACACTTACCAACTTCCCTACATTAGGAACATATTGAAACTGACAACAAGACTCCAAAGACCACTAGGAATCATGGTGGCTCACAAGCCCACTGCCACTCTACGACAAACACTTACAACAACATGCAGAACCAACGTGGTTTACAAAATACCATGCAACGACTGTCAAAAATATTACATTGGACAGACAGGAAGGAAACTAGCCATCAGAATACACGAACATCAGCTAGCAGCAAAAATGGCACAATGAACTTTCCTTAATATCTGTACGTTCAGACAATGAAGGCCATCAATTTAACTGGGACAAAGTTACCATAGTAGCCCAAGCCAAACATTGACATGCACAGGAATTCCTAGAGGCATGGTTCTCCACCCATACTTCAATCAACAAACATATAGAATTGGACCCCATATATAAACCCATACAGATCAAAACCGGAAATGACAGTATTCACCATAACGGACCGGATAGTATACATTCCGAGTGGAGTAGAATAACATCGCTTCGCCGGAGGCTCCACTGATGATGTCACCTAGCGTGGTGACGAAATGTCTGAACAAAAACAAGCCAGCTCGGCGAGCAAGTCAACAACCTCGGAATATACTGAAAGTAAAATGCACTATGGGATCAAAATCCAAGAACTACCTCCCTAACAGCACTTTGTGTACACCTGCCCTATATAAATGTAAGCAGTTCAATAAAGTGGCTCATCAAAACTTCAAGGACAATTGAAGAAATCCCATTAATGAATAAAAAACATTGATTCTTTTGATATATATTCATGATCTGAACTACGATATGCAGGGAGTTGTTCCAAAGTTTGAAAATTACGTGTAATTTGAAAACACAGTGATGAGGATAGTAACAGACTTCACATGAGGACAAAGATTAATGAAGTTGGCAGATGGAAATTAAAACACAAGAATAAGAGGTGATTCAACTAAGTAGAACAACAAGAAGGAAAATTTTAATACTAAATTGTACAACTTTAAAGGGGATTCAGTGGAACGTGGGAATACCATCACCTGCAAGTTCCCCTCCAAGCCTCTCATCCTGACTTAGTAATATATCACCATTCCTTCACTACTGCTGAGTCAAAATCTTGGAATTCCCTCCCTAATGGCAGTGTGGGTCTACCTATAACACATGGACTGCAGTGATTAAAGAAAGCAGCTCACCGGCACCTTCTCAATGGCAACTGGGAATGTACAATAAATACTGGCCAGCCAAAGTCCACATCCCATGAGTGAATTTAAAAAATTGAAATTGCATTGATACTGATATTCAATTATATATGCACACACAGTTGTTGCTTCAATCAGTGCTTCTTATATGTTTTCTGGCCACTTTCTCCTATTTTAAAATTTGTTTAGACATATGGCAAAGTTCTCAGACAGCTGTATTTCTGTAGATTTGATATCGTTTCTCATAGTTGTGCACAAAACATCCCTTTTCTCCTTCACAAGCTTTTCTTTCATCATCTAATTTTATTTCTCCTACTATATTTGTTTTTCTCCCACTGATTTTATTACTTCCTCTTATCTTGTAAATTTTGTCTTTATCTCCTCATTTGTTGCTACATTTCTTTTCATGACCATTAGGATTATTCCAAGCATGAGAATAGATGAATGTCTGAAAATCTCCAGTAAGGAAGAGGAAAGATTGCTGTACTTCAGAAAAAGTGGGAAGAAATAGAATTTGGGACCACCACTTTGAAGTATAGATGGGCTAGATCCCAGTTTTGGAACAGATTAGGGAGGATTTTTTTAAAGTAGAATTGCTAGAATGTTAGACTTCGGTTGTGTAGAGATTAGAGAAACTCAGATTGTTCTCTTAGAGCAGAAAAAGGAGAAACTGGCTACTGACGTTCTTAATCTTAAAATGTTTTGATAAGAATAGATAAGAACCTGTTCGCAGTGACAGTTGGGGACAGGAACCAAAGGACGCAAATTTAATGTGACTGGCATAAAAAACCTAAAACTAGAATTTTTAAGTTTTCGGGTATGAAATTCCTGAATATATACAGGAATGTAATTTATGATCAACTTACCTTCTAAATTTTCTATGCGTTCAATGTTGTTCAAAGCTAGATTAAGGTATTCCAGTTTTTTCAGTCTTCCAACATTTTCTGTAAAATAATTAAAATCTTATCAAACAAAAAAGGCAGTCAATTCGGCCAAAGATCAAACTTCAAATTGAAACATATTTTAAAAGACTCAGAAAATGATAGTCATTATGGTCTTGATTTTGAAGAGCAGTGAAACTATCAGTGCTCACTCTTATTAAGGAGTAAATCAAACAGCAACTTCTGGCATCTGTGCATATCAGTTTAACATGGAAATCAGAACATTACTATACATGTAGCTCTGCTCAAGATATTTTACTCTAATAATTTTACACTAATAATATTTCACTCAGCTGAGGCTGGGGGAAGAAGTGGAGAAGCAGGTTCCATGACACCTCCCCACCTCTATCCAGACACAGGAGAAGCCAGTTAAGCCCCTTGAGAGATTCATTAACGTATTCACCTGATAGTGTAAGGATTTCCAACCAATGTATAGTACATTGATTGGGCCAGGAGGTCCAGCAATAGGCCAGGTAGCTACTGAAGCTGGATGCTTCATTCAGTAGGCAAGATGTTATGTTAATAAATAACTGTAACAACATCTCTGTTGAGAGCTTTTACCCTCTTGGCCTTTCTTATATTCCCCATTTGTAGCCAACTGCCTGGAATATGGAAAGGTAAAAAATGCTCCAATTGAGGTTTTTAGACTAAAGAACGATTTTGAAAGGGCTGAGAGAGAGGATTTCTTCATTGGTGGGGGTAGTTGATCCAAAGTCCAAAGAACTTTACCAGATTCAGGCATTCAGGAGAGAAATTAGGAAACAGTTCTTCACACAAAGGATGGGAGAAGTGTGAAACCACAAAAAATTCTGGATGCTATTTTAGCAGTTTTAAACTCAAGATTGACAAATTTCTGCTAACAAAAGGTATTAAAGTATATGGAGCTAAGGCAGGTGAAAGAAGTTAAGATACAGATCAGCCATAATCTAATGGAATGATGGATAAGACCCAAGTGGTTGAATGTTGAACCATTGTTTATATACCACAAGAATTTATTCTTTTAAATACTGCTCTGCTTTCTGACATTGAACAATGCATTTTTTTGCAAGCTTACAAATTCCCCTTTTACAACATCAATTTTTAGAAAGTCATTTCAATATGTGTTCAAATAATTTTAAAGTGCCTGGGAGTGATAGGTAGTTATTTTCTCTCCAGAAAAATTAGTACTCTTAACTTTGGAGTTTTAACATTGGTAAAGATCAATAAAACAAATATTTCAGGAAAACAATTGTCACCTTATTATTAGAAAGTCTGGATACATTACACTCTGCAAGCCCTTCCTCCAAGTCAATAATAAAATTAGTAAGTAATTGAGGCCCTAAGCCCTTCTGGCTTGAAACCATGATTATGTGATTAAGTTTCCCATTATCTACCAATTGAGCCGACCAGGCTGTAAAGGAACTCCCTGCACATGTCTTTTACTTGAGAAATTGTTGAAATATAGGTGGATTGGCCACGCTAAATTGCCCGTGGTGTTCAGGGATGTGTAGATTAGGTGGGATGCTCTGAGGGGTGGTGTGGACTTGTTGGGCTAAAGGGCCTGTTTCCACAGTGTAGGGATTCTATTGATTTATAAAACATATAATGTTTAAACATATTATGTTTTTGTTTTGCAGTGATAAGCAGGCCTGAGAGCAGGAAGACATGAATCTGAGTGAGGTGCCACAACAGCTCAAGGTATTGAGCACAATGTACTAATATAGATTGAGGATTGCTTAACACATGGAATACAGGCAGTCAGAATGATAGATCTCTTCAGGTGGGAAAGATGCAACTAGTGGCATGCCAGAAGGGCTTAGGGCCTCAATTACTTACTAATTTTATTATTGACTTGGAGGAAGGGCTTGCAGAGTGTAATGTATCCAGATTTTCTAATAATAACCTCTACACTGTTATGTGGACATAAGAATTCTGTAAGGGGATACAAAAAGGTGGAGAAAGTGGGCAAAAACTTGGCAGATGGAGTTTAATGTCAGCAAATGTGAGGTCATGCACTTTGGTAGCAGGAATCAAAAGCCAGACATTAAATTGGAAAGATGTCCAAAAAAGTGCAGCACAGAAGGATCTGTACACACCAAACATAAAATATTAGCATGTGGATGCAGCAAATAATTAAGAAGGTAAATGAATTGGGGTCTTTATTGCCAGGAGTTGGAATTTAAGAATAAGGAAGCCTTGTTACATCTGGACAGGGTGTTAATAAGGCCACATCTGGAGTACTGTGCACAGTTTTGGTCCCCGTATTTAAGGAAGAACATGCTGGCATTGGTGGCTGTTCAATAGAGATTCACTAGGCTGATTTCTGAGATGAAAGGGTTGCCTTGTAATGAACAGCTACACAAGTTAGGCCATTATTTATTTAAGAGGTTATCTTAATGAAACATACAAGATTCTGAGGGGACTTAACAGGGTGGATGTGAGATGATGTTTCCACTAGTAGTGGAATCTCAAACTTGGGACATAGTTACAGAGTCAACAAAGTTGTTTTCGCCTTGTCTTTTCCCGTGACTAGGTCGATGCCAGGTGGTCTTTCCGGATTCATTTAGAGTCATAGGGACGTACAGCACGGAAACAGACCCTACAGTGCAACTAGTCTCACTGCCAGCATTTGGCCCATTGCCTTATAAAACCTTCCTATTCATAAATCCATCCAGATTTTAACTGTTGTAATTGTACCAGCATCCATCACTTCCTCTGGCACTCATTCCAGTCATGCACCACCCTCTGCGTGAAAAGTTGCCCCTTAGGTCCCTTTTAAATTTTTCCCCTCTCACCTTAAACCTATGCCCTCTAGTTTTGAACTCCCCAACCCCAGGGAAAAGACCTTGGCTATTTACCCTATCCATGCCCCTCATGATTTTATAAACCTCTAAATCACCCGTCAGCTTCCAATGCTCCAGGGAAAATAGCCCCAGCCTATTCAGACTCTCCATATAGGTCAAACCCTCCAACCGCAGCAACACCTTGTAAATCTTTTCTGAACCCTTTCAAGTTTCACAACATCCTTCCTACAGCAGGAAGGCTGGAATTAAACACAGTATTTCAAAAGTGGCAAACCAAAGCTGCAACATGACCTCCCAACTCCTATACTCAACGCACTGACCAATAAAGTCAAGCATACCAAATGCCTTCTTCACTATACTATCTACCTACGACTCCACCTTCATTGAGCTATGAACCTGCACTCCAAGGTCTCTATGTTCAGCAATGCTGCCCAGGACCTTACTATTAAGTGTAAAAGTCCTCCCCTAATTTGCCAACCCAAAATGTATCACTTCATATTTACCTAAATTAAACTCCATCTGCCACTCCTCGGCCCATTGCCTATTAGATCAAGATCCCGTTGTACTCTGGGATATCCTTCTCCACTGTCCACTACACCTCCAACTTTGGTATCATCTGCAAACGTACTAACCATACCTCCATTTTCTGATGAAGGGTCTATGCCCGAAATGTCAGCCTTTCTGCTCCTATGATGCTGCTTGGCCTGCTGCGTTCATCCAGCTCTGCACCTTGTTGTCTCGGATTCTCCAGCATCTGCAGTTCCTACTATCTCTAACCATACCTCCTATGTTCACATCCAAATTTCTTTGAGACATCGTAGCAATTGATACATTTGAGTGGCTTGCTAGGCCATTTCAGAAGGCAATGGAGAATCAACAACATTGCCACATGTGGGCCAGATCACTTGAGATTTCCTTCCCTGAAGGACATTAGTGAGCCAGATGGGTTTTTCCTGATAATCAGTGATGGTTTCATGGACATCAGTAGATATCTAATTCAAATTTGTATACTCGGTGCTGTGAATGAAATGTTTATTGACTAAGAAGGTAAACATATGACTGGCTGCATTTATCCTGAATGCGCCTGCGGACTGTCCTGCAACAGTATTTTTAGTCAGTCACAGTCAGGACTAATTTAAATTTGTTCACCACTGGATCTTTCTAGGTAGCACCTGATGATCTTTGGGGGAAGCAATGGCTAACAGTATTATTGTTAGACTATTAATCAAAAAACTTAGCTGGTGTTCTCGGGCATAAGCAGAAATTGCTGGAAAAATTCAGCAGGTCTGGCAGCATCTGTGGAGAGAAAGCAAGTTAACGTTTTGGGTCCAATGATCATTCTTCTCCGGTCACTGGCCCCAAAACATTAACTGTGCTTTCTCTCCACAGATGCTGCAGGACTTATTGAGCTTTTCTAGCATTCACAGTTCTTTCGCTTAATGTTCTGGAGACTCAGTTTCAAATGCCACCATGACAAATGGCACTTAGCATAGAAACAATTTCTGTGAAACTACAATTTAGTTGCCTCTAATATTTCTTATTCATACTTTCATCTTTCTCTCTGTAACAGGTAGTTCGATTAGGAAACACATGTTCTTGACTCAGGGATACACTTTGCAAAACTAATAAAAATAGCAATATCAGTCTGAAAAAAATTTTTAAATATCAAATAGTTTACATAGAGTAAAACCAACAGTAAATGCAGTAAGTTGCAGTCGATAAAATTACCTCCTCAATACAGGTCTGCAACCAGCATCTAATTGTTGCTCATGTCACCATTTATAATTGTTCTAATCAACCTGTTTGATCACTTCATCACACCTCTTGGGGCTGGTGGGACTTGAACCCAAATCTCCTAACTGAGAGTAGGGACACTATTACTTGTCACAAGAGCCTAAAATTACCACTTATACAGTGGAAGTAACAACTTATGGCAGGTTTGGATAGGAAATTGAAGAATTTGGCTAACTACACCTGTGTGATTCTATTTAAATGCCATGAGGACTCCCACCTGTGGTCTTAAAATGGACTGGTGATTCCTGTTTTGGGAGGTAAGGGAGTATGCTACTGGTATAATTTTAATTTTTCAGCTTTTGAGTAGTTGTTACTGCAGTTTCATTTTCTGTCTCAACTGCAAGAAAATTGACAGTAATATAGAGGAAGATAAAATCCATTATTAAATTGCAACAAAATTGGTGTGGATTTTCTGATTCTTCCAGG